GGGAGGTGGCCCCCCTCGCTCGCCCTCCGTCTCGGGGTCAGAGTCGGGGCTCAGCAGGTCGGAGCTGTTGGAGCTGCCTCCGTCCTCCAGGTCAGCCGAAACCAGCGCCAGAGATCCGGAGCGCCGGGACCGCGGGAAGGTGAACAGGCGGCGCCACAGGTTGCTATGGCGACCGGAGGAGGGCAGCCTCAGGGAGGTGAAGCCCAGCTGAGAGCGGACCGCCAGCCGCAAGTTCTCCAGAACCGACGCCTGAAACAGAGAGGACCGTTAGTCTTTAGAACCTCTTAGAACCTCACATCATAAGCTGGGATCAGTACCTGGTTCCCAGAGCACACTGGGAAGTCCTCCACCGGCGGGATCAGACCCTGGGCTATCAGCTGACCGTAAGAGGGCGGGGCCTCCCTCCTCAGGAGCTCCGCCTCCACCCTGGACAGCTGCGTCTCGAAGGACCTGCAACGACCAATCACAAGGCTCAGGTCCCCTAACGACGCATCACAAGGCTCAGGTCCCCTAACGACCAATCACAAGGCTCAGGTCCCCTAACGACAAGTAATAATAATAATAAATTGTATTTATAAAGGCGCCTTTCAAGGCTATCAAGGTAGCCGTACAAGGTACACAACACAAAACAAAAGTCCAAAACACACAACAATATAATCAATCAATAAAAGCAGAGGACGCGTGATGTGATCAGGGAGGATGTGCCAGTGTGAAGAGACGTGATTTGAAAAGAGTCAGTATTCCGGATGTCAGGTGGGAGGGAGTTCAGAGGTCACACGGCTGGCAGCGATCAATCAGAGGTAGGTGTAGATCTCACCTGCGTTCGAACATGCGCAGCGAGTAGAGTTTGCAGGTGCAGCCGAGCGCGATGACGAGCAGCAGACCGCAGATCAGACTCCCGATGACAGCAGCAGTGATCACTCTGGTGGGAACGATCACTGGACAGCTCTCCTCATCGCTGCCGTCGCCACAGTCGTCCTGCGCATCGCACACCCACGACTCAAACACACAGCGGTTATTCTGCAGACAATAAATCAAACACAGAGAAGATAATCACCCCGCTCGATTCCACACAAATACAAATATAATGCTCCATTAACATCTCTCAGGGACTCATTTTACACTCAGTCAGGCTAACATGTTAACAGCTGCATTACCTTGCAGTGGAAGTTCCCGGGCTGGCAGAAGAAGCAGTTCTTCTCGTCGGATCCATTGGGGCAGCGGTTCTGGTAGTTGCAGCGGTCCGATCGAGGGTAACACGCGCCGTTTCTGGAGCAGGGGAATTCATCCTCCTGACAAGAAGAACAGTTCAGCTCGTCCCGTCCGTTCGGACAGTGCCAGTAACCGTCACAGCGCTGCTGCTCAGTGTAGCATCCCCAGTTCCCCCCGCAGGGAACCTCCCAGGGCAGGCAGAACCCGTCCACCTTAAACACAGAGGGGTTCATCAGAGACATTCCACCTTAAACACAGAGGGGTTCATCAGAGACAGTCCACCTTAAATACAGAGAGAGGGGTTCATCAGCGACAGTCCACCTTAAATACAGAGAGGGGTTCATCAGCGACAGTCCGCCTTAAATACAGAGGGGTTCATCAGAGACAGTCCACCTTAAACACAGAGGGGTTCATCAGTGACAGTCCACCTTAAATACGGAGGGGCTCATCAGAGACAGTCCACCTTAAACACAGTGGGGTTCATCAGAGACAGTCCACCTTAAATACAGAGGGGTTCATCAGAGAAAGCCCACCTTTAATACACAGATGGGTTCATCAGAGACAGTCCACCTTAAATATACTGTGGTAAAGGGACTGACATGGCAGGTAAAGGGACTCCCCTGGCAGGTGGTAAAGGGACTCCCCTGGCAGGTGGTAAAGGGACTCACCTGGCAGGTGGTAAAGGGACTCACCTGGCAGGTGGTAAAGGGACTGCCCTGGCAGGTGGGAAAGGGACTCCCCTGGCAGGTGGGAAAGGGACTCCCCTGACAGGTGGGAAAGGGACTCACCTGGTAGGTAGCGTTGAAGCCTCTGGCGGCGTTGATCTTGTCGGCGTAGAAATGGATGCGCAGCTGTCCGGAGGAGGAAACCACGGCGACCGGCGCCCGGGAGTCGAAGGCGGTCAGAACGCGCAGCAGGCGGCGAGGGTTCTCCTCCAGACCGTCGTACACCTTCACGTAATCTCCGTACCCGGTCCCGTCCAGCTTAAAGTCCGTGAACCTCAGGACCACCTGGGGGGGAGAGGTGAATGGGGGGGTAAGTGAGGGTCCTCTAACGGCGTGCGTTGAAGCTTGCCGGCGGGCGTTGAAGCTTGCGTTGAAGCTTGCGTTGAAGCTGGCGTTGAAGCTTGCCGGCGGGCGTGTCTGAAACTGCCTTCTGCCGAGGCTTCAAAAAATGAACATTGCTCAACTTTTGCAGCGAGCCGCACCAGCAAAGCTCCGCTTCCCACAATGCAGTTCGGCGAAAAATGACGTCACCCCATTCAAAGTGAATGATGAAGCTTTCAACGCACGCCGCTGTGTGGACGGGCCGTCAGGGTCCTTTAACGGGTGAGGTTCAGGGGGTGAGTGATGGTCTAACCTTGTATGGGTCAACGGTGAGTAAGGTATCATTGATCAGAATAACAGCTAAGGCAAGACAATGTCCCGTTTTTGCTCCGTAAAGCTCTGTGTTGTGATGTCTGTGTTGCTTTCACTGCCGCGAGTTCTGATCGCTCAGTGATTATAGAGTGAGAATTGTTTTGATTTGAGTAAACTGCATCAGAAATGAGCTCCTGAACAAAAAATCGAAATTGGACCTAAAAAGTGAGACATTTTATAGGAAAATCTGCAGAATTAACTCCAAAGAAGAGTTAACGACATTGATCGACAGAAACCAGAGGAAGAAACGCAATTTTTGGATGTATTTTTGAGTTGAAACTACAAACTAGCTTTCAACTACCAATTGACAACTGTCAACCGTCTAGCTGTGGGCTGCTAGCTGTGGGCTGCCAGCTGTTACCTGCCACTGTTGGAAGGAGCTGCACCAAAGAAGGTAGCGGAACATTATAAACTGAATTATTTCATGAAGATA